TGTGTGTGTGTGTGTGTGTGTGTGTGTGTGTGTGTCTGTGTCTGTGGCGCTGTGTGTACATGTGTGTCTGTGTCTGTGCGCCGCAACTAAGATGCAACGAGTGGTGCATCACTTTCGCTGCAACAAAGCCCTCGTGTATGTGGACAGCCACAAATCACACACACACCTTACACACCGCACGAGTGGTGAGCAGCACCATCAACAGCTCCCTCCCCTAACTCTCTCAAAGCAATGCACGTACGTTGCTCTTGAGTTTTGTCAAATCTGCGTGCACGTCCGCAACGGCAACGGTTGTTTCGGGCTGTGAGGACACAAACGCCAACTTGCGGTGCAAATCGCCCACAGCAGCCTGTGTGTGTGTGTGTGTGTGTGTGTGTGTGTGTGTGTGTGTGTGTGTGTGTGTGTGTGTGTGTGTGTGTGTGTGTGGTTGAATGAGTATGAATCAGAGTGGAGATTGAGTTCTGAGAGCAGTTCACCTTACACTTAGTCCTGTCGCGTGTTCTCTCTCAACCACACACTTGCCAGCTCACACAAACAAACAAACACACACACACTCTCTCTCTCTTTTCCTCTCTTCCTCTCCCACCCCCACTCGCCTTGCCTCCCTGCACGGGGGTGTGCGCACCTCAAACTGCGGCGTGATGGTTGGGTCTGGAGAGCAGATGCTGTCGACCAATTCCGCCGACAGCGCCATGTTCTGTGTGCACGCGCACGAGCATGTGGCCATGAGCAGCAGAAGGGAAACCGCAACACAATGTGTGCCTTGCAGAGACAGAGACAGAGACAGAGACAGAGACAGAGACAGAGACAGAGACAGAGACAGAGACAGAGACAGAGACCAGAGTGTGTTTATATCTCTCTGTGTCTGTGTCTGTGTCTGTCTGTTCGTGTGTGTTGTGACGCCGGAGAGGGAGACTGACCGAGACGAAATCAGAGAGGCGGTCCTGGATTGTACGCCTGTTCTTGAGCTTCACGCTCATGCCCAAGGACTGTTGGGTCAAGGGGGGTTGTTGTGATAGCGGACGAGAGGAGAGCACAACAGGACAGCGTGAGGCGAGCATCACCATCACAGAAGGCAAAAAATGCAAGTGTGTTGCTCATGTATTATTGCTCGTGCCGATAATACACACACTTTTACGTATGCCGTACACAAGCACATGCACCGCACTCACACGCATTGTATCCAAGCATGCGATCACGCGTACACTCACTCGCACAACTGACCTCTTCTTGGAGAGACTGGATTTCGCCACCGATGTTGCCGAGGTCGGATTGAAACGTGCTGTGGAGAAGAACAGCAGGGATGCAACCAGGGGTCAGGACGTGCGCGGGCATCATGACGCCAAAGCGGGTCACGGTGACAATGTGGACGGTCACCAGCTCAAACGTCGTACATCTCAAAACATTACACACATACGCACACACATACACGCACACACACACACACATACGCATGCACATACATACACGCATGCACATACATACACGCACATACACCACACACACGCGCGCACACACACACATACACTGAGCGCATGCATGGATCACCTGAGCATACGCTCCATGTTTTGAAGAATTCCGTCACACACCCGCACTTGTCTTGGTGGTGGATTCACGAACAGCAGCCCCAGGCGTAAGATATGAGCAGCCGGTTGGCTGGCGCATTGAATGCACGTACATGCACATACGTACGTGCATACTCATGTTTGGTCTCATGCACACGCACACACATACACACACAAGCATACACACGCGTACTGGTGCAGTTGAGCCATGCGCTTGGCTTCCTTCATGTAGTCTTGGATGCTCTCGCGTTCCAGCAGCTCGAGGTCTTTCTCCACTTGTCGCGCATACACTCGCAAGTCGATTCCCTTTCAACACAGAGCGGAAGCAGACCAGACGAGAGCGAGACGACAGGGTTACTGGCGTACACAGTGCATGTAGCACAGACCTTGGTGCGTGTGGGATGGGTTTGACATCAGGCAATGCACTTCATTTCGCACCTGTTCGAGAGCCTGCTTCACGACCTCATTTTCCATGTTTTGTCCCATGTGTTCTACACACACGCACACACACGCACACACACACGCACACGCACACGCACACACACACGCACACACACACGCACACACACGCACACACACGCACACACACGCACACACACGCACACACGCACACACACACACACAAAGTGTCAGTGCAAGCAAGGCGCGCTTGCATGGAGCAGCAGCAGTCACCACACCAGATAAAGAAGCCAAACATCAAAGAGTTGATCAGCAGCAGTAGCACCTTCCATGTCGTCAAAGTCAAAGTCAACGGAAGTGATGTCAAGGTCGCTAAAGTCCAGGTCCACCTCGTCGTCGTCATCTTCATCGTCAACAGCATCGTCATCAGCTTCATCCTCGTTACTGCCATGGTCCCGAGCACGCGTTGTGAAAGCTCTTTTCTCCTCCTGCTCCTCCTTGCTGTTCGTTTGCTTTTGTGTGCCTTGCTCCTCCTC